CCTCACTGAACAAAACAACTCATTTATTCATTTTCAGAAATCTCCGGATGATAAATTATGTTGATGTTAATCACTTCACCGCATACTACGCAATTAATATTTGTACTTGATGGAAATATAAGGATTACTGGAGGTGCGACAGCATACATATATGGCTGATTTTTAACATAATTGGGCGCAAAAAATTCTCACGTCGTAACAGCGGAGGCCATTACAGATTCCATCGGTGCATATTTTAAAAGTACACGTGTAGATATTATAAAAACGAATGTGCCATTAATTATAACTTCAGAAAAGCAGAAAAAACCAACCCAGAGAAAAATGCCGAATCAAGACTTCGACGCTTTCCCTTCCAGTATCACGTAATGAGATAAGGAAAAATACCACAAAGGCTGAACTTAAATGTCTCCGAGAATATCTGGTCCCATTCAATTCCTTAATGATATTTTAATGCATTTTGTTGCTTCATTTCCTTTCTAAAATTACACTCATCGCACTGGTCTTCCATCCCTCATCGAGGGATCTGCATCACAAAAAGAAAGGCGCTCCAGCCAGAATCAGGGGATGTTTTGAAACCAATACCAGGCAACGGATTGTGGCCGCCCCTCGCACAGGGTTATCCGTTTGCTGGCGTGGCTATTAATCAAGCATGAAAGCGTTATCGTTACTGTGAGTACACAGCACCATTTGTCAAACTCTGTTTGCTTTTGAGAAGCATTACCAGGAGGGCCTCATACATATTACCAAGCGCTTCTTTGCAGAGGTTTCTTTTTAATAACATACCCTACATTCACGTGGAAGCATTTATCTCAAAACTTCACCAAGGGCCAGGCTGTACCACATCGTATATGCAACAATTGGCTTACTCCACGAGTACGGCAAGTTAATAGTCAGCACAAATCAGTTCTTACTCACAGTTTTGCTGACCACAGCAAAACGGGCTTTCCGTCCCAGTACTCGCGCTGTGAACTTGCTATTTGTTTTTAAAGTTTAGCTTAGGGCGTAGCAACAAGCCATCAGCATGCAGGACGACAGCTTATCAGATAACGCAGTGTTCCTATCATTCTGCCTTAGCAGAAATCCCCCCGGCGCATAAGAAGAGGAGCAAGAGAGCCAGTCCTCCCTCTCAATCAGAGACGTGACTGCCTCAACACCCAAGATGATCCTTGGAAGCAGCCCGGGAGAGAACAAGGCAGCAGCAAGACAAATCAGACGTTGTGTAGCGAACAGTCGCCGTATTACATCTCGGCTGAGGCGACCGAGGGTTCGGTGCCGCACGTGTAGGGGCTACACCGGTGCTGCAAGATTAATGGTTAGGATGAACGCCCCGCTTTCACCTTGCGAAGAGTCTGAAATCGCTCTGCCTGACCCCCACCAAGGGCATTGTCCTGGTGCAGGAAATCTGGAACAGCCCCAGCCCAGGGTGAGGAGGCCAACAGCCACTTAGAAACATCTTCCTCAAGTTATTGAGGAACTTAACTCAGAACCCTGAAGTCTGCAATTTTCCTTGAACTACAAGACAGAAGAAAATGTTCAAGTGCATTGTTTTTAAAATGGAATGAAGTAGGTCACTTTGCAGATTTAAATTTCTGCACCTTTCTTTCCTTTTTCAGCAGAGGAGAACATTTCGATAGAAGAAAGGCATGTTTATGGCATCACCTCCAACTAAGCCAAAACACCAACGCTCCAGATTGTCAATGACACTTCAGGTCCTCATTTACCAGAAGACACTTGACATACCTAGCCTGAATAAAATCACCCTAAAAAGAGAATAGGCAAAAATTTTGAAGGGAGGAGAGCACTCTGGGGGCAGAAATGCCTCCTTCCTCCTCTCTGCCATCCGTCACCCCAGACCTGACACCTCAGCTCTCCTGAGGGAGCGCTACCAAAGCCACCACCGCAGCCCCGAGGTGGGGCGTGAGGAACAGCAGCGGCACATTCTTCTCGGAAAACGGCCGGACCGCGTGGGAGAGTCACCTCGGAGAGCCCTCGTTTTTGTTTCAAGCTCGCTCGCCTCCAAAGAGCGCAAACTGCACGTGGCTCAGGGTCTGTTCCCTTTTGCAGGTTGCACTTTGAACAGTGATGACAAGTGTCCCACCCCTCTCTTCCCCACTTTGCAAACTATGCAGGCTTTTTCTTTTCTGTTTGTTTTTTTTCTTGGGGAAAAAAAAAAATCAAACCCAAAAAATCCCAACTTTTGTGTTGCAGTTTAGAAAAAAAAAAATCTCTGTACCCTGAAATTTAGTCAGACAAAAAATACCACATTATCCGAGAAGGCTCCATCCATCATCCTCCTGTCCTTCCCCAACAGGTTTCATGCTCAGGCTGGATACATTAAGCACAGAGAAATACAACATCTGCTTAGAAAAAGCTTTTCCTGTCCCCCGCTGATGTTCCAAAGAGGTGGACCTGCTGTGCCCTTGGTGGGAATGGGCAGGATTTACAGGCAGAGAACGTGAGAGCAGATGCTTGAGTGAGCACCGTGGCTAACCGAGCCAGAGCGACGCCTCTCCAGCTGCACGACAAGCAGCAACCCGCCAACGTGAGAGCGCAGGACGATCGGCAAGTGCCGACTGCCGCCGCTTTGCAGATTTGGTGGTCGGCGCGCTCGTGAGGTAACACTGTGGTCAACGGAAGCGCACAAAGAGCAGGTGGGAGGAGTCCTTTGCTCCGACTGCAAATCCCCTATCTGAAAAAAAACAACTGAGAATGTATCAATTAGGCCCAATTGTAGGAGTCCACATTCCCCGAGAGGCCAAGCCCAGGTCTACAGGAGCTCTCCTTGAGTGGCCTGTCCGTGAAGAGTGCTCGTGAGGTAACACTGTGGTCAACGGAAGCGCACAAAGAGCAGGTGGGAGGAGTCCTTTGCTCCGACTGCAAATCCCCTATCTGAAAAAAAACAACTGAGAATGTATCAATTAGGCCCAATTGTAGGAGTCCACATTCCCCGAGAGGCCAAGCCCAGGTCTACAGGAGCTCTCCTTGAGTGGCCTGTCCGTGAAGACAGGAGGATCTTCCTTCTGCTCACACTCTCCCATCGGCCAACGAGTCATCAGCATGAAGTGGGAAAAGCTCAAGGGTAAAAGTTCACTCTGCAACTGCCTTTTCTACCCTAAGTTCAAGTCCAACAGCAGGTATTAAATGCAAGTGTCTGGATGCACTCCAGCACACGAAGTCCCAAAGCCGCTCGCTGCTGGGAGCCGCAAGGTGACGATGCACGACATGTTCTTCAGCTGGTAGGCTTCTCTCGAGCCATCTGCTGCTGCCTGCTGAAGGAACCGACCGGACTAACGTGGGGCAAGTGCCCATATATAAACATAATTACTTTTAACAAGCTCAGAGTTTAATTTGGACTAGAACAAAACACCAAGCTGGTCCAAAAGCCCTTTTCTTACTCATCCCTGTTCCCTTCCGAGGAGGCTCTGTGCTAGCTCCGTCCCAACCAGCAGCTCCGGAACAACCCAAGGGGAGGCCAAAACGGGCGCTAAGGGCAGAAACCCGTGCAAGGGCTGCCACTGAGGTCCCCAGCTCGTTCGCTGAAGACTGCACGCATCCCCCCGGTCGCTGCAGTTTACGTGCGCTTTGCCTTTGCTGCGTGGGGAGCCCTGCAGAGGCTGCAAATGAAAGGAGTCAAGAAGGGATTTATTTGAGGAAGAATGGAAAAAATGACGTTCATTTTTTTGGCAGGAACAGCAGCCCGCTCCTATCCCATTAAACGATCAGGATTTTAGAGGAATTTCCGAAAGGAAGCCTAAAGGTAATCTGATGCCCCTTCAATCGAGGGGAAGAAACCCGGCAAGCTTTCAGTACCTCCACATAATAAGGGAGATGGGATTTCCCCCCCGCCGTCTTCTGTTAAGTATTTGATCAAGCCTCACAAAGGTGCTAATGTATTATTAAAGCTAATGGAGCTTTACAAGAAATGTTAATGGACATTAAGTTTGCATAAATGAATTACACATTAGCACAGTCACAAGAAATCTAGTATCCGCCAATTTAGGCAGTATCTGATCATTTCTGTTTTCCTCATTACAGGAACATTACTTCCCGCTAGTTTCAGAGATACGAGAATTGTAACCAAGATGTTCATAATGAAACTACATAATGAAGCAAATGAAACAAACTATTACAAAACTTCCTCTTCCCCTCTTAGTCTCATGTTATACTGCAAGCGGACCTGCAAAAACAAGCACTTTGAACCATCCCAGCACCCCGGTTTTCTGAGGCACCCCAGCCTCGCGGTGTGGACCAGACCGTCTGACTTTGCTCTTGGGAGCCACTTTCTGAGTAGAGTCGGTGTGCGTACGCACCAGCTCCGTCGTCTCCGCCGGCCGCAAGTCAGGCCTGGCTGCGTTTGCGACCGCGGGTGTTTGCAGGCACCTGCTCATAAAGTTGGTTAGCGTCATATACAGCAGCGCGGTTCCCAAATGAAGTGAACTGCACTATTAACACCAAACACGTTAGGAGCAGGATAGAAAACAGGCTGACCTTAATCAGCGGCGTTACTACAGATTCCACAGAATTCACATTCCTCTGATTTAGAAAACCAGTCGGTGCTGTACGTTCACAATGCACGATACGGAGTTTCTTTCGCACAGCACCGAGTTTGTGCCAGTAAACTCACAATGGTGGCCAGTCGCTTTGACGTGGCGGTAGAGAAGCGGTTTTCAAAGAGATAAGTAGGTTGCTAAAAGAAAAAATACTCAGATTTAATCTGTTCTGACAACTACAAAGCCCAGCCAGGAACCTTTGACGGTGCAAATTCTATGTACAGAAAGTTCGTTCTTAAAGAGAAGGAAGGTATGTATTCATCGTATCGCAGAAGGGCTGGGAAAAGTCATGGCTTCACCCAAGAAGGGGTACCCAACATTCTGATTTCCACTTTTAAATAACACGATATAAGCCCCGTCTACGCTGTCGTTTTATCACGTGGGGAATAGCCCCCAAACTCTTCAGCGAGCCATTTTACAGGTTGAGAAAATGAAAGTTCCGCTACTCACACATGACTTCGAGGTAACGCTGCGTCTGCAAGTCTTTGACAGCAGGGTGATCCACCAAGCAGATGACAGGGACCCCGTCGTCCTCCCGTCCCACCTTCAGCAGCAGCTGACTGGTCACCGTGTACATGTCGGACCACTGCTCCACTTCTGACTTGCCTGCCAGGGAGAGGACCAAGAGAGCGGAGAGTGATCATGGGAGGGAGTACCTACCACACACCGGGTCTCCTCCCTCCTCGCTGTGCCCAGCTGACACGTCCCCTACAGATAACCGTCCCCCCTCCGCAGTCACTGAGATTTAGGGGAGAGGGGTACGGGCGCGTGAAGCAACCCACCTCTCTGTCGGGCTGCTGTCGGTTGAAGTCCACACGATGCTACCGCAATGATTAACAATTCCCTGACACTGTCCCCAAATCCCCGAACTCTTAAATCAATGGAGCTACAAATCCCCTCCCACTCTTGAATCAACAATTAGCTAGAAAAGTGATTAAACAGATTAACTTAATTAAAAGTCGTATTGATAGGCTGAAGCACTTCAGCAGTGCTGCATCCAAAGGAGAGAACGGCAGCGGTGGCCAGAGGGAAGCCCCGCTCAGGACCGGCTCCCTGAAGGATGCCATAGCGCACAGCACAGAAACAAGGGGGAGGAAAAGGCAGGACAGGAGAAAAAGGATTTTTCCACGAACTCAGCAAGCGCTTGCTGACAACGCGACTCCACTTTGCTCACTAATACTCTTCTCTGAGTCTTTCCATTTAAGAATTCGCAGTCAAAATGCCAAGAGTAACTTTTGTAGCGAAGCCCTTGCAAAGACAAAGGATTTCTATATCATATATTGAAGTGAAACAGAGGACAGCTGCAGAAAGCGACACCCCTTGGCATTTAGAGGAGAGGCTTTCTGATTGGCAAAGCCATGCTTTCCCGCTATTCACAACCCATAACCGAGCATTTTGGTGTCCCTGCTTCTGTTTAAAAAAAAAAACACCCAAAGAATCAGCAGGGTGAGCTGGTACTGCAAGAAGCTATTACTCAGCTCAGCAGTCTTCGCAGGGAAAGGAAAGCTGGGATTCAATTGCCAACACAAGAAAACTCAATCAAGAAGCCGTCAGGTCAAGAGCGAAGGGTCAAATACTACGGCAGCGCTGCCCGTCAGAATGGGGAAGGAAACCAGAGCTGGGTCCCTGGAAGATCTGCACACCACGTCGCCGGCACCAGGTGCCGGGAATCGGTGGGGCACCGCTCTGCGTGGCAGCAGGTCTGCCGTCCACCTTTGTCAGCGCGCTCTCAGCACGCATCCTCCTCGGATGCTCGTAGGTGTTGGGCTTAAAGCGAGGGTTTTATCATGCCCTTGTAGGGGGTTGGATTTGAAGTAATGAGTCCAGACTTCTCTAGAGAGCCCTTCAGTGCCTCAGACCGGGTAAAGCACAAAGCTCACATCTGTGTGCAGGCTTAAACTAACAGCACGTCACACGCGATCAGAGTCAGTGACTTGAATGTGCAAATACCGGGAGCAACCAGACCTCAGGGAGTGGGAGAAACCCATCTTATATTAATATTCAACTGAATACAGAGAAAAAGCTCTATAAACAAGAGAGTTAGACATGAAGGTGAACTGAAAATCTTTACAGCCCAAAGCGCAGATGATGCTACTCCTACCTGAAACAGGGCAGAAAGCTACATAAAGCACCGCAGGAATAAATTCAAGGTGCGGCAGCTTTGGCTCCTCCAGGTCACCTGCAGGTACCGAAAGACTCCAGAACCCTGTACTCGAGGCTGGCAGGCAGGCAGAGGACCAAATGGAGTTCAGCCCTTCTGTGTTAGAGAATAAACTCTCTGCCCACATACTCCTTTGTTCCCGAGCTGGCATTTGAAGCAGCTCGCTCTACTTTTTTTTTTTTAATCCCTTTCCTCCCCGCCACCTCTTAAACCGGCAACAGAGAACAAATACCAAGCATTACATAAATCATTTCAGCTATCTGAAAAAAGCAAGTGAGTGAGAGGATACATCTACCGGCTAGCTCCTTGTTTCCTTTGAACCATCTGATGGTGGTGGCTGGTCTGCTGGCCATGGCAGTGCAGTTCAGCTCAATCTCTTCTCCCTCAACGGCAATTTCTTTCTGGATATCAATTACCAAATTGCGTGGCGGGACTACAACGAAAAAGACAACACAATACATACTTTTGATATTAAAAAAAAAAAACCACAAAAACCCAAAACATTTTCTGACCACTAACACAAGACAAAACCACCAGGAAAACCTGTAAAAATCTACTAAAGGAAACCAGCAACCAGTATTTATTTGATCTTTCAATCGATCAAATCCCTTGATAGGCGGTTTCACAGCAATCAGAGTAAGCACTTTCACTCTCCACCTAATAATCATCGTAGTTTCGCAAATTATTACTTATCAAATCTGTAACTTTCTGTTCTCTCTCCCAGGCAGGCACCGTTCCAGGGCAGAGCGTTACTCTTCTGCCCTGTTCGGTGGTGTGTGTGTGTCGCTATTTAAAAATACAGCTTGACTCCGTGCACATTTCTTGACTCCTCCTGACAAGGAGAGGAAACACAAAAGCTGACATTTGGAAGCGCCTTACTTACCGTGCCTCTAACCTCGCAAGGCAATTTTTCTCTCCTGCTGTTCGGCTTCAAGCCTCAGCCGTAAGGAGTGGAAGCGGGCCAGCAAACATCAAGCTCATTTAAGACGCTCCAAAAGCCAGTGAGCTCAAGCCCAGAGCGGAATGCCATCACCTTTGGAATTGCCATCCCTGCTTCCCCATCGCACCACCACAAAGCCGTCCCAGGGAGAGGAGGGAGCCAGCTCTGCCTCCAGCGATGGGCACCTGCATCGTAGGGCAGCTCCTTTGCGATGGTAGTTTGCCCTTCTCCCCGGACACGTGTCTTCCACGGATCCAGAGGTCTAGAAGACCGCGCTCAACGAAAAATAATCCAGAGATACGGAGAAACGGGCTGTAACTGCAGGGGGATAACACACCACTGCAGAACAACCCAGAAAAGCGACAAACCAGCACAAAAATTACAACACGGGAACAAGGAACGTCTTCCCCATGAAAGCACCGGTAGTGAGGCAAGAAACAGAGGGAAACAAAAAAAAAAAAGAAAAAGAACATCAAGAGTTTGTGAAGCACAGAGTCGCAGTTTCAGAAAAACCCCAGAACTTCCAAAGGAAACTCAACTTTGCTCTGATCACTATGATTAAGCAACTGCATAGTTCAAATGTGACTAACACGTTTTTGAGCTAATGAAGAACAAATATGTATAAATACCATCCAGATGATCAAATGGACTAATTAGTCACTTGTGGCTTTTCTGTAAAAAGAACAGAACGGGCTACATATTTGAGATTTTCACATGTTCCAATTAAGCATGAATAAATCTACATATCGTGCGCCACAGAAGACATTAAAGTACAGGGGAGAGAGGGGGGAAGCACGCCGCTAAGGCAAACGTGAAGCTCTCTCCGAAGACTGACTACAAAGAAGGATGCCTCCAAACGTTGCTCTGCTCTCTGAAGCGAGCATCATTAGAAGCAGATCAGCAAAGTTACTCTTTGCTGGAACTTAAAATATATCAAAGTCCGTGTGATGACCACAAGATCTTTGGTGGGGAATGCATTCCTCGGAGGAGCAGTCATATACCGACACGGAGAGCCACGTCTCTGCCCCGGCTCATTTCTCCTCCTCCTTAGGGAGTCAATAATGGGGAAGACAGGAAAGACACGTTATCCTTGGCATCAGCGTACCCCATCTCTCTGTACCGATGCTAGCCAAGATAAGCAGTCCCCTCCTCAGCCTTCCAATAATAAACATCCATCGTCCTTGCCAGTTCCGTGAACTAAGGTTTGGCCCGAGTAGGCGATGAGGGTGAAGAGAAAACACCCACCGCTTGACGGACGTCGGGTAAGGCAGGCAGGTGCTGGCCATGCTGCAAATCCTTCTCAAAAAGAACCAAAGCACGAGGCAAGGAAGCAGACCTTCCCCTGAATTCTGAAGCAGGATTCATGTTTAAAAAAACAAAACAAAACAAAACAAAGCCACAACCCCAAACAACAACAAACTGCATTTTGTCTCCCACTTGAAAGATACGCAGTGCTGGCTTATAGGTGAATAAAGTAAGTACTACTATTTCAAACACCTTCGTGTTGTTGGCAGTGAAATGAAATCCGACAAACTACTTTTGCGTCTGTAGGATTAGAGAGAAGAACTGGAAGAGAGCTATGAATACTGGAATGTGCGCTAAAACTTTGAAGATGTTGATAAATGCAATAGGTATACTAGAACTGCTTATAAACATTACTTAAGCAGCGTGTAGAAACCTAAGAACCCAATCTCATTAAATAGAAGAAGGAAGATTTAAACTAATCAGCGAATGAGATCTTACATTAAGTCACCCTCTGTGATTCAGGTTCTCCTATTAATAGAGTCTTAAAAGCCGTGGCTAATCGGTAGGGACCGCTCTAA